ATATATATATATATGAAACAACAACAACAAAACTTAGTGCTTACAAAACCTTCATTTTAAGTATAGTTTGGAGTAGTTATATCATTTTCTTTTTCCTTCAGCAAGACTAAGGCTGGATTGAGACTTACTGATAGTTCATTTAAATCCTGGGAGTCTTCCATGTGGTTTTCTCACTTTTCCTGCCACGCCCAAGTAGAAGCCGCTTCCTTCAATTACAAGCAGACTATCTGAAACCAAAAAGATGAAAATAAAAGGGAAAAAGAGAGAGTTATCTTTTAATTCAATTGTAAAATTAACAAAACATATTCAAATTTAATAGGACTTCCTGAGGTTGATTTCCCACCTTCCCCACAAGAGAAAAGATTTAGCAGGACTGCTGGTGACTTGTAGAAGAATCCTTTAAGAACAAAATTCACAAATATTCTCTCTATAGCTGAGATAAGTAATAGTCTTGTGAATAGTATCATGGTTAGGACATGTGAGCACCCTACCTGTTCAAGAATCTTGCAGATCAACAAAAGCATCAGAGGACAACTTTGGAGACACAATCTATGATAAATAAGTAGAACTTAGTTTGCTGAAGAAGTCTGTCATTAAACAATTGATAGGTTGAAAATTAAAAGCCTTCACTGATCACTCACTTTTAAAAGTGCATAATATAAACTCAAGAGATGTACTGTGCATTTTAGTGTGACAGATTTATAACAGGAAAATGTGTCTCAGTTACCAGATGTCATATTCACTTCTAAGACTGTAATGTTAAAAAATACACAACCAGCTTTAAAAAGAGAATGAAAATAAGACTCTTAAGAAAAAGAGGGTCTAGCAAATAAATACGGGAGGAAAACTGGTCAAGAAACTACAGTGAGATAATCAGAATACTATCCAAAAAAGTTACACATTGCGTTTTCCAATAAAATTGAAGTGTAAACAACTCTAAGATGAGCAACATATATTCTTAATTCCTAGATCAAAATTGAAAGATACATAAAAATCCTGAAAGAAGTACCTGCATAAAAATCAGACACAATGCGCTCACATGCTTTGAGCATCATGAGCTCTTACAATTCAAGTACAGAGGCATAGACACCCTGTAAAATTGCTGTCCATCAACCCAGTGTTCAAAATCACAAATAAGTACAATTTAAAATAACAATGATGCATTCCTACCCCTCCAAGTTCTAATTCTTAAAAAAAGAAACTAAAAGAAAATAAAGGACTAAAAGATGCTCATCTTAAATACAGACATAAATTATTAAAGCCACATTTCAAGGAATATTTACTGACATCAAAATTTCAGAAAATATGATTTAAGTGGAAAAATATTTCAGAGAAACAATGGGCTACCAACGAAGCTTACTGACAGGAGAGCAAATGCTTTGTTCAGTGTCACGCGTGTCCACCTGCCCACTCCTAACCTCAACCAGGTAGACGTGGTTTTAATTTCTTTTGTGCTTTTCAGTGTTTCCAAACTACACCTGTTACCTTTCTTATTATAATGCAAGATGCTTTAAAAGTAAAAATGAAATGTAAATTCTAAAATGTTTTATGCTTATATAAATACAGAGGCAGATCAATGATGTTAGTTTTCACTGAGAGATAAGTCAGAAAATGATAACGTAACTTATATGTAATGTGCATCGTCTCAATATGATAGTGGTTCAAAATATCCCCAAACGACGAAACCATCATTTTGAAAAGAAATAGCATTCTAAAGGGTTTATAAAATGGGGAAAGGAGGTATAAAATATACTGTTAAGTATTCTGAAGAGTGTGGGCTGAGAAACAGTGATGGCAAAGCACCAACTTCCAGCCTCTTAGCTTAGGCCTGCATCTCGTTCCTCTCACGCTTGCTCGCATTCAGTCTCTCGCTCTGTTCCTAGCTCCTACTCCTCCGGAGTTCTTCCCCAGTAGAACTCCAGAGCCCGTCTTTGGTCCTGCACTCTCCCCCAGGCCCAGTGATCACACCCGTGGTGTGATGTGTGTCACAGTGCCCTGGTGCACTCGGGGGTGACGTGTATGCACGCTTGTCCGTCCCACGTGGACTTCCCTCCAACTCCCAGATGGCTGCTATGTAGGCAGTAAAATGAATGAAATCTTACTGTCTCCAATGCAATATAAGGATACTCCACAAGTAAAACCAACTGATGCCAAAATGGCTCTAAAGGATCAGTTAAAACTATAGCACCCAGTGCAAATGAATTTGTAAGTAGAATTCCAAATGGCCTCAGGGTAAACCAGATGCTGCAGATGTAATCATTATATATTGCAAATATGCACCAATGAAAGGTTCTTACAACTTTAATTTTTTTTTCATTGAGTTTATTGGTACATTTTAGGTATACAGTACAGCTACATTCATCGCTGGGATCTTGTACCTTTACAGGACAGATCTTGGTTTTCATTTTTTTCCATTCCCTTGCCCTCCCTTCACCCCCTCCACCTTTCCCTATTTACAAAGACTTTGTTTCCATTTTTTCTTTTCCCTTATTTCCTTTCCCCTAGCCTTCCCACTTCACCTACAACTTTAGCCCTTTTCTTCCTATTTCACATGATCAGTTATACAATTTGGATCTTATTTGCACTTTTAGTTTTTCACACCAGAGAAACTATTTATTTCACGTGTGTCCTATTTATTTGCCTTAAGAATATGGCCTTAATATGCATCCATTTTTCTACAAATCACTGTAGTCTCTCATTCTTTATGGCTGAGTAGTACTCCATTCTATAGAAAAGCCACATCTTCTTTATACAGTCATGTCTAAATTTTAAAGGCAAAATAATCTCTGAAAGGGAAAATAATGTGTGTCTTCTTTATAAGAATTACCTACAGCTTCTATATCACTGGATAGAAATTTTAAGTGATCAATAAATATAGATTGAATGACACAATCCTATGGTGTAAAGAAAAAATAAACAGCTAGGTAATTAAAATGTTGGAACTTTATCTCAAATATATGGTTACTTCAGCAAAAATCTGTGTTGTCCCCACTTTCAAGTAAATGGTTGGCTCCATTTTACTTTTTACTTTGTATCGGACATTAAGAATAGAAAAATTTGAAGAAATATTATTTACTAAATAGTTTAATTTTCATAAAACTCAGCATTGAAAATTATTTAGAAGATAATTCTCTACTCATCTGACTTAAAAATAAAATACACTATTAATAAAATTACTACCGATGCCTATAGGAATGGATGAGGTTAAACCCATTTAGTTAAAACATAGCTTGCTGTATTCGATCCTGTGGCACTCCTCCCGCCACTCTATGCAGCCTTCCTCAGTGTATGTCTCTCTGTCCAAAGCTCCCCTTCTCCTGGGTATGCTAGTCATTGAATTAGGGCCCATCCTACTCCAGGGAGACCTCGTCGTAACCTGATGAGAACTGCAAAGATTCTGTTTAGAAATAAAGATTGCACTCACCCACCTGGGATAAGGATTTCAATCTATCTTTTAGAGGACACAACTCATCTGAAATACACGTACAATTATTACACAAATTATTTTAGGATATGTTCAAAGTGTAAATGTAATGTTATCAGAAAGGATAGGATATATAAGAATAAAATTAAGACTATTGATTACCTAGAAGTGGCAATTTTTCTGACAGACCGTGATCTCAGTACACTTTTGTTAAATTGAAAAATTTTAAATTAAGGCTTTGGAAAAAATATTGGAGCACAGAGAATGAAGGAAAACACTCTTTTTGGTCAAGCCGTCAAAACCTTAGTGTTCCAGTTGGAGAGTTATTTGTATCAAAGTCCCATGTTACAACATTATACTTTGCTTTATATTTCCTTGACATATAGACTGTTACTTACTTTAGTTTTAACAGTAACGAGAATTTCATTCTTTGCCAAACTCACTAAGGTACCAAAATGTTACGAGCCCAGAAATTTTATATTATTGAACTTAGTAAAACTACCTAATTGCAGACAGAGTATTATGTTACATCATAATTTAGCAATAGTTGTTACGCTAAATCTTTTAACATTTAGTTTTCACAAATATATGAGAAAGGGATGCAAACACTCTTCGGATTAAGAAAAGAATTACCTTATAATAAAGATGTAAAATTAAGGAATAACAGTAACCTCATGCTGTTTTATGAGGCAATAATCTAGTTCCCATCTCGATCTCAAGACCATTCCTCCAGAAAATGTGAGTTTTAAACAGGAATAATAGCAACCCCACTCTCTGTCTGAGATTCTTTCTCTTGCAGTTAAATTTTGAAGATACACACAATTCATCTTATCTTTGAACTCTGCAGTAGAAGCGAGCAATCAACTCTTGCATCTTATAAAAGTAGAATAAAAATTTCAACAATTTTAATTCAAATGTGTCACACACACACACACACACACACACACACATATTTTTCTAAGAAAATTCTCAGAAATGGAATGAGATGCTACAGGCTGGTCCAGGTGGGGGACTTTAGCAAGGGACTCCCATCTTTAAGAAATGAGAAGGCATTAAAGGAGATTCTATGATGTGAACTGAATCTTCTGTCCTTCTAATTAGCCTTCAATTAAAAACTGGATTGAAATAGATCTAGAACTTTTTCAAGAGGGAAATGTACTAAGAGATGGAGGAAGAGGAGAAAGGGGAAAGAAAATGAAAAGAGAATTACAATGTGTTATGTACATGTACCAACTCACCACCACAAGTGGAATCTTTTTACAAAAATGTACCAATAAAACTGCTAAAATAAAATAGAATAAAATAAGACTAGACTGTCCAGACTCACTTACTCTGACAAAAGAAGCAGGGACATTAAGGAGGGGTCTCATCTCTCAGCCAGGGCTGGCATGGGACAAGGGCAGAAGCTGCACATGGGATCACCAGACCTTTGGATTCTGCACACAAAAGGCATCACCTTCCCCTAGGTGCTACAGCCACACACCCAGGCCTTGTCACTGACTCCTTGTTCCTTCACTCAAGAAGAAATCATCGCACTGAAGAAATCACCATATCCTTTCGATATCCCCAAACTTTGCTCAGGACCCTACCATGATCCTTACCCCTCACCACTTCCATAGGAGTTCAAGCCACCAGTGGTCCTGGCCTGGACAGGGACAACCATTTTTAATGTCTCCTTCCACCCACTCCTGCCCCTGGGGCCTCACATGTCATAGCACAGCCTGAGTGATGATTCTACGATGGTTCTCACTATATTCCCTTGAAGAAACTCAGAGGTTTTCCCAATTCTCAGGACAAACCAGA